ACCTACCCACCCGCCCGCCACTACCAGTCGCTTGGACCTCTCTTATTGTATGAAATTGAAGTTGAAATTTCACATTTACTTAAATAATTTTTTCAGGATTGTTTTACTTAAGGTTCACTGATTCAAACATTCAAGACTGACCAGTACTGGAATTCGAGGAGTGAAAATTCATTGAAAATATTATGTAATTGTGAACGCTTGACCTGTTTTCACTCTATTGATCAGTCACATTCTAGGTCAAAACAGTCACTGATGCCCGTTCATGCATACTATAGAGTCACTGTTATACCTTTTTCTTTACATTCAAGTCATCACTCAAAAACGATTCCGTTGGCAGCCGGATAAGAGGTAAGTTGCAATGCCTTTGTAGTTTTATTTCTAGACTTTTGTGCTATTTTTGTTTTGTTTTTGAATTTACATTAATGTTAAGGCTAAATAGGTTATCTTTGAGAGAATTAATTTTAAGAAATCGTAAGTTATTAACGTCCTTTGTCTTTTTTTCTTTTTTTTTTCTCGATGTCAATATATAATTTAAGTAGCACTTTTCAATAACGTTACCTCTCGAGTATAGAAGATGTTTGTATGGACCATGTTTCATATCAATTGTTTTGTTTCGAGCAATTAAAAATGAACAAAATAAAATAATTGTTTACGATGAAATTTGTAAATAAATTCGAAAAAGTCACAGGAATTAATGCCGGAATGATCATGAATCACTGATGAAGCCACAAAAACACAATACATTTTATCATCATTGTCACGAGTCAAAGGTCGTAAAATAACCAAAGTCAGAAACTTATTTTCTGAAGCAGTCTGAATCTTAAATATGGGCGTTTGATCTTAATTGTGTCACTTAAATTGGCAAGTAAAAGAAAATAAACAAATTAGCAAATTATGTTATCCCACAATATACAAGATATTTAGCGGCTATTATTGCTTTTCTTAGTTCTAAAAATACGATTTTCGCAGTTTTCATTGTGTTGTTGTTGTTTTGTCCTCCTTCCATGACCATGATTTGTGGCGTTAAAACAAAAACTTTCATGTTACGTCATAGTAAAAAAAGGGCAATTCATTAGTTAAGACAAATTATCGGTTGATCAATATCAATTTAATTAATATTAACTATGAAACCAAATTAGACGAATACTACGACACTAACGAAAAGAAAAGTGAGAAAAAAGAAACAAAATAGATATATAAAATTTGATATGGACTACTGAATCTTACCATAGTTAATATTATTAACTATGATCTTACCCTGTAATGAAACACTTGAGCGAACCCATCACGTGATCCACGTCGGCGCCATCTTGGATTTTTCCCTTGAATCATATCTTTCATTTCACTAAAACAATAACCAATAAAATGATGTCAGTTATATAAGTATGCTTAATGAATTCAACAATTTTTACAATTACTATTATCGTTTTAATAATTTTCCTATTTTAGATCACGTGTCATTCCCTAGAGTATTATTTCTTTGTTTAACGGTTGTGCATGAGAAGACACATGAATATAGATTCAACTCAAACAAAGAATTATATTCTGCTATATTACGCGAATAGACCTTTTCTGCTTTGGAGTAATGTTTTCACATTTCAGATCACGTGTCATTCTCCTCAATAGTTTCGTAGACTTTGGCTCAGGTCAAACGTCGAACTTCACATGAGCCGAACCTAATGACATCAAAGACGACCGACTTGTTATCCATTGTTCCAATTGGATTCGGCTCACGTAAAGTTCGAAGTTTGACCTGAGCCTAAGTCTTTCTTCGTATGACTTTTTAAAAAAATAGTTTTCTGTTTTATTTGTAGGGCAAGATGTATAAAACCATTCTAATCCTGTTGTTCGCCGGAGCGCTGATTTACGATGCTAATGCTACAGGTAACCATGACAACCGCAATGACGTCACTTGTACTTTAAGATTTTAAAAAAATCTGGTAGAATTAACCAGACTAGGACTTTCAACAAGAAACGAAAAAAGAATGCATCTCAGAAAAACATTCCCTACAAAAATTCTTACAGATTTTATTTGTCTTTTCAATTTTAGAGTATTCCTCTGGCGAACAAGAAAACACGGATTTGAGCGCCAGTGGCTCAGACAGCGGATTTGACAGCGGTTCCTCCCCCATACCCACGCTCGAGGAAGACATTGACTGGAAAGAAGGTACTTATATATTAAAGTCAGTAAATAAAGCGATTGATATACTGAAATTTGTGTTTTAAGAAAGACTATACTAGGCACCCAAAAATGGTGAGAATTGATAATGTGACGAGTTGGTGTAGGTCACCATTATCTACGTTTGAAAAGGGCATACAAAATGCAAGATCCTTTTTTTCTTCCAGTGAATATTGCACCTGAAGATTGTAACGATCAAAACGAGGACGAGTGTAGTGGGCTGGCTGATGCTGGCCAGTGTCTTAAGCAGTTTTCCAGAATGAAGACAGAATGTCCATGGAGCTGCCGATTTTGTAGCAAGAAAGGGCGTAAGTATTTTTTATTTGTCCTGAATAAAACATCAAATTAACTGAACTACAGAGAAGGAAGGAGGAAGAAGAGGAAGAAAACGAGAATCATTGGGGTGTAAGAAAACCCTTAAAATGGCCACCCACAGAACTTCCATCCACCTGACTACTTTAGGAAACGTTACGACCCGTTTACCATGGAAGGAGTTAAATGTTGCGTCTCAAGGGGATTAAAATTTTTTTGATATTTTCAAAAACTTGACAATTTAAACTTGTCTTACAGTTTCGACCAAGGTATGCAAAGATTTAAACCGAGGCAATTGTCCACGCTGGGCTGCAAATAATGACTGTATTCGCTTGCCGGACTACATGTCACAAAACTGCAAGAAATCATGTAAGCTGTGTGGTCCAGGTCAGTTAGTACTCATGTTAGCTCCTCTCTGAGTGTTAAAAAATATATATACACGACCAATTGCGCGGTAAATGTTAGGTGAAGTTATGCAACGATCGCGAGAAGCCAGTGTTCTAGGTGAGTTAATAATAATCCACGTAGCTTTTTAAACTTCCTAATGAATTCGCCAACCTTAAAGAGAACGGCGTTGGCGTCGACGTGGTATTTGCTAAATTTGTCCAGTGTTTTCAAGTCCCGTAAAGCAAAAGGGCATTTGACAAATATTGCCATTTAACTGAAGAAAATTTTCTTGTTATAACAGAAAACAAGTACGACGATGAGGACGTCCGCTGTCCAGGATGGGCGAAAGCAGGATACTGTAAATCAACTGTTGATATTAATTTAAAATGCCCATACAGTTGCCGTAAATACAGAAACATCCCAGAAGCTCCTCGACCTTACCCATATCCTGTGTCGGCTCTCCATCCTTATCAATACCAGCAATATCCGTATCCTTATCCAAGTCCATATCCTACCCCGTACCCTACACCCAGCCCGTATCCTACCCCGTACCCTACACCCAGCCCGTATCCAAGTCCTTACCCAAACCCGTATCCTAGTCCTTACCCAAATCCTAGTCCTAGTCCGTACCCAGCTCCTCCGACAACGCCTCCCCCTACCACACCCACCACACCCTCACCTTACCCCCAACCAGCACCGCAGCCTACACCTCAACCAGCACCATATCCTCAACCAGCACCCTCACCCTCACCTATACCAGCTCCCTTGCCTACACCCATGCCAGCACCCCAACCCATGCCTACACCAGCTCCTATGCCTTCACCGATGCCAACCACTCCTCAGTATGAACCAGCATCTGGTGACATGCCAAAAGACTCGGGCAAGAAGCACAGGAAAAGGAAAATGAATGACAAGAAAAATAGGAAACACAAGAAGTACACCAAGAAAAGCACAAAGAAGCATGACAAGAAACAGTAACACTTCGCGTGTTCCTTCCTACCCTACACTTTTGAATTGTACTGTCATAATTCGAAAACTTGCATTGAAACAAGTCTCTTAAATTACAAGAGAGTTCGTTGCAAGAATTTTAGACTTTTTAATATATTTTTACCAATTTTGCTGTCAAAAAGTGTGAAAATAAATCCGAATAAGTATAAAAAACAATACGAAGAGTTATAGATTATAGTAGAGTCTTAATTCGAAGCAATGCATAGTTTGAAATTGAATAAATTAATTTTAACTAATTTACGGTATTTAATTGAGGTATCGCATGAAGATCTCAAAAACAATTCTTATTCACACTTCAAGGCCGTAGTCTAGCTCAATGAAACATATTTCTGATATACGAAAATAAAATGTTCCTAGAATTGTACCTTGGGGTATGCCAGTTAAATATTTTGAGCAGGCTCAGACATAACGAATGCCTCGATTAACAAGAAAATGAAAATGACTACTATATAAAAGACCTTTTTTGTTTGTTGTATGACCTCACAATCACAGCAGAGCTATTTTCCATTCACAAGCGGAAATAAGAATCACACCGATAAAGTTATGCATAATTGATGGTTAATTAAAATCTAGAGTTGATTCTAATTGTGTTTATTTGTTGTTTTTTTTCCCTTGCTTCCATCTTTCTTTCATATTTTTTGAAGGAACAGAGAAGGGGAAATTTCAAGATTTTGAAATTGCTCCCTGTGTTTACTAGCCAGCGAAGCGAACGACTTCGAAACCGATCAATAAGCTCCATGTAGGTGTTCAATACACCAACCTGTTTTCCACGTTTTTCTTAAGAGAAAACCMGACCATTAAACACATCAATTTTTCATTCACTCTTGCCTTTTCATTCGTTTTCCATTGATAGCAACAATAATAGTATTGTTTGAAAAGATCTTTAGATAGGGAACTTGAAAATATTTAACCGTAAAAGAAGTCCAACTCTCTCCAAACAGGTATGTTTTCTATTTTGACTACGACTGTTCTGTTTGAAAATATTTTTTCTTTGGGTGTTGGATCATAGATCGGGTAGTCAAAATATAATTATATATTATAGTTACAAAGGAATAAATAGACACACACAGCTGGATCTTATATAATACTCTGTTGCTATAGAGATGTCCTGGTTTAGATTTTAAGGTATCTCGCAACGTCTGATTCAATCGTAGGATGTAGCATATCCTTCACAGTTACCTAATTCAGTTTTCTATAGAGGCTTTGCACCATCACGTGATGGCAGCCATGACATGCAATAGACTACGTCGACGACACGGCGGCCATCTTGGATCACAAGGCACTATGGGGCATCCTGGGATAAAAATAAAGCTTTGTTACAGTAACAACGTCGATTGATATAAACTACAACGACACATCAATCACTTTTACCCATAAAAGAAAGACACACGGAACTCTATATATTTCCTCCCTGACAAGATGGCCGCCCTATCGACCAAGTAGTGCATTACTCCGGCCTCCTGTCGTAACTGCCATCACGTGATGTCTCAAAGCCTCTATAATCTAAGCGTAAACGGATGTCTCTATTTTTCCTTTTCACGAGCACCAAAGGGCGAAGAATGGGGTCTGGAAGATGGTTTAAGGAAGCCATTGTAAAACATCCTGTTTATTTCCAATTCTTCGTTTGCAATAGACGCGTCATAGCCACCATGTTGGAAGAATTTGACAAAAGATTTTTCAATGAATTCTTTCGTTATATCTTCCAACATGGCGGACATCCCTTTTGTTACTGTGCTCTCTTGGGATTGATTGCAAACCAAGAATTCGGCTCACTCCATTTTATGCATTACATCTCCAGGGTTCACAATACACCTTTAAGCTTCGTTGTATATTTTGCACATTTCAGACCATGTGATGCCACTCCTGGGAGTTGATTCTTTTGTGTGTAAATATTTTAACATGTTCGTCATAAAAGAACAACTCTCAAGTGAATGAAATATGGTCTGAAATGGGCAACCAGTCTAATGCAATCTGATTTGAAATAATCACATGCTAATTAGGGAAAGTCACAAAAAATAAGAATAACATCGAGAAAGTGATGCATAATTAATGAATTAATCTCTAAAGCTGATTTTAATTGCGAAGAGATATGAATTCCCAAAGAATGTCCTGCGCACCAGTTTGTGATTTTTCGCCTTTTTTTCCGACTTTTTTTTCTTTCTTTCTTTTTTTTTTTTTTTTTGCTTTTTTTTTTTTTTTTTTTTTTGCTCCTTTCCCCCTTTAATCGTTATTTGAAGGGACAGAGAAGGGGAAATTTCAAGATTTTGAAATTGCTTCCTGTGTTTACGAGCCAGCGAAGCGAACGACTTCAAAACCGATCAATAAGCTCCATGTAGTTGTTCAATACACCAACCTGTTTTCCACGTTTTTCTTAAGAGAAAACCMGACCATTAAACACATCAATTTTTCATTCACTCTTGCCTTTTCATTCGTTTTCCATTGATAGCAACAATAATAGTATTGTTTGAAAAGATCTTTAGATAGGGAACTTGAAAATATTTAACCGTAAACAGAAGTCCAACTCTCTCCAAACAGGTATGTTTTCTATTTTGACTACAACTTTTTTGTTTGAAAATATCTTTTGTTTGGGTGTTGGATCATATTTCGGATAGTCAAAATATTCAGGTGAAAAGAATAAGCTTTTAGTAAGCTAGTAAAACAATAAGTGACAAAAAATATTGGAATGTGATAGATATCTAAATAAACCCACAGCTATAACTATAATATGATAACTAGGTTATATAGAGATCTACTTTATATTTACTCCTACGTATTACTTATCAAAAATCCTTATTAATGGATTTTTGATGAAATATTTTTCTTAAAGATATTTTTGTCATCCTATTGAATGGGATAGTGATCGATAACTAAATAAACACACACAGTTGGAGATTTAACATAAAACCTATGTTTTTTTTTACTATGACCCTTCACAGTCTTGTAAAGTAGAGGGGCACTTAAATACTTTTCCAAGAATAGCAAGAAAATAATTGATTGATAGGTGTTATAGCAGATATTTAGTTTATATTTAAGGTATCTCGTAAAGTTTAATTTATTTGAAGGATTTTGGTAAAATATCTTTGTCAAAACTTTGGTAACCCTTGGAAAGCGATAGGTAGGTAAATAAACAGTAAATAACGATAGGTAAATAAATAGTAAATAACGATAGGTAAATAAATAGTAAATAACGATAGGTAATTGAGTATATATATAATATTTTAAGGTATTTTTTGTTCTCTTAAAGAAGGCAGACCGAAACAAGAATGAATTGGACTGCTTGCTTTGCAGTATTGTTTGCCTTGCTTGCTATTTCAAGTTGTAAAGGTATGTCTATGAATGCTCAAAAAGAACGAAAGGGAAAAAAGAAAGTGAAAAAAATAGAGAATAATAGGAATTGAAGCGAATAGTTAAAGCTTTCTCTCGAAATTAAAATCATAAACTTAAAAATTTCTAATATTAAAGTGAGCACAGTAAATCCGTGAAACTTTAGTAATACTAAATAGCACAATTTCATGCAAATTCCATTGTTTTCTATTGTTTAATTAGCTCTGTTTTGTACTATTTAGTAATTAGTGTTTCACGGATTAATTGTTTGCACTCTACTTGCTACGTATACTAGGGCCCAGTTTACGATGACTCTGGGTTTATTTTCACCACAGGTAGCCCAAGGTATTAAAAATGTTTGTCTATTTTTAGAAATTTTATACATTTATTACAGGTAATATTTTAGTTTTTGTTTATTAAGTTTACATTTATCTAGATTACAGAAGGCACAGAGTAGCAGTAGATTTTGAAGAAGAAGATGATGAGGGTAAAGAGATAAGTGCGAAGGCTCTCGACTGGAAAAAAGGTGGGTATGTTAATAATGGTGGTCGTCTGAGGGAGAATTCATTTGTATCAATCAGCTGAATGAATCTCGTGAATCTCGTTGTCATAACGAGCTCTTTAATGTATCAGGACAAACATTACCATCCATGTGAATCATTCCATGACGCCAAATTATTTAATGACTTATATTAACTAATAGCCCAATTACATCCAACCAAATAACCACATTTCAGCACCTATTGCGTATTCATGGATATTTCTGTAATGTCGTGTTTCAGTTGTTATTGCCCCAGAAGACTGCAACGACAAATGGGACCAATGCTCTGATTTTTCCAGCAAAAACAACTGTCTTGAAAAATTTGACATAGCAGTCAGAAGGTGTCCATGGAGCTGCAGGCTCTGCAAGAAACCAGGTTGGTCATTCCTGAAACCACTGCTTTTAAATATCAAATTGTAGCAAGTGCGTAGACAAGGCGTAAACAGGGGGAGGCCCGAGGAGGCCACGGCATCCCCTTCATGACAAGAAAATGGCGGCTTTCTTATAACATATATGGTGCTTTTTACTTTTGGGCAACCAAACGTGGCAACAAAATAGCGGCTGTTTATTATTATTATAATTATTATTGTTCTATTTTTTAAATTTTTATTCGGCGTTCCGGGGGCCCTAACAAAGTGGCGAATTTTTGAATTTGGGCCATTTGAAGTCAACGAAAGGAGTCCAATCTAGGGTACCCACACCAGGAATGGTACTATACATTCAAAATTCTACATAATCTGCTGTTCTACACTTATTATTCATTTTTTAACTAGAAGGAACGAAAGTCGGAGAGTACCCGGAGTTACCTCTTAAGATAACTCTAAAGATTTTCACTGTTTTTTAGCTCAATTACAACAAAATATATTAAAAGAAGAAAATAAGTGAATACATCCTTTTTTCTTCAGATCTTGATCCAAAGGTATGCAAAGATTTAACAGACAATTGCAAGACATGGGTCGAAAATGGCGACTGTATACCTTATCCCGATTATATGACACAGAACTGCAAGAAAGCGTGCGAAATGTGTGGACCAGGTAAAGATAGTAATAAACACAACACAGTTACTTATGAGTGTTAGTTATGTTTTGATCGAAGGCGATTCAGAACCAAGGCGAAGGCTAATAACGCTTTGGTTTTCAATTATTATTATTATATTTTTTTAAATTTTAAGAGGATTTACACTAACTGCAACGAAAATGCATTGAAGAAAGGAAAGTCGCAGAGATGGGGAGCGAGCGCGCGCGTTTTGGCGCGAAACTGAGTTCCCTAATAGCTAAAAGTGAGGGGAAAACTGATTAACAAATATGGAATAACTTACTAACCTTAAGCCTTGGACCACAAGCCCTATTGCACCTTGGACTTCTCACACTAAAAATAACCAAACAAAACAGGATCAAAAATAAAGAAAGAGATAAATCACACTCTATAGTTTAGTGAGTACGAGTTAGCAAATTTTAAGGAGAAATTAGTCTTCAACCAACAACCCTTAGGAGTCGTTCAGTCCGAAATCTTCCCGGGACTTATATTGATGACGGCTGCGAAGGAGAATACCAACAAGACTGACGCCCAACGATTCTATTATTTTCTCCGTTGTGATGAACTCCAGGGTCACACAGACGGGTAGCGTGTACCACATCCCATGGTAATAAGGGGACAACGACATAACCGCCATGGTGGTTAATGTTACGAAAAAATTAAGATCAAAACTGTTGTTAAAGTCAATCAACATGGCGGCTATGCCGTCGCATGCACTTAAAGAATTACGGTACTTAACTCTACGGTCTAAGTAAGGTTAGGCTCGGTATTAAGCCATGAGGTTGTGGTTCGCGCGCATCGAAACGACCACGGCTGAAAATTAGCTTAGAGTAAAGTTTGTCTAATTTGTTTTATTTCAAGAAACGACCAAATTCGACACCGATCCTCGATGTACTGAGTGGAGCAAAGGCGGATACTGCAGCACAACAGCAAAAATATCAGAGACGTGCCAGTACAGCTGTAAGAAATACCACAACGTCAAAGCAGCAAAGTCGGAATTTCCTTCACCAATACAAGCGCTATATCCACTTCAAATGAAACCAAATAGTATGTATACATCTTCATAACAGAATCAGAGCCAGTCTACAATCTAGGTGAAAACTTAGCCTTTAAAATTTTATAGATACCCTGGGCTGATCTAAGTCAGGGCATGGCTAACTCACAGATAGATCCCTGAAACAACCTCTGGGCTGATCAAAGTCAGGGCACGGCTAACTCACAGATCGAACGCTAAAACAACCTCTAGGCTGATGGAAGTCAGGGCACGGCTAACTCACAGATCAAATTGAAATTTGGTTTTTTAGGTTGTACGGAGGGAGGAAATCCAGAGAATAAAAAGGTGATTGGTCTATGATAGAACCTACGAGCGACAGCGGTGATAGGCGGCGCATTATTTCTGGGCAGGCACCCGCGCTCATCAATAAATAGAAAAATGTTATTCAGATAAATCACCGCAGAAATTAACGTGACTATCTAATATATCACGTGACTAACCAATAAAACAATAAATATCTTGTTATTCTTGGTACTCTTAAGCAGGTTTGGACAAGGAGAGTGAGGACTCTAATAATGAAGAACTTTCTGACAAGAATTCAGTTGAATGGAATAAAAGTGAGTGCTTGAGGGTGTAAGGCCATTCATTTCCAGAAAATGTTCGCGCCTCGTTCTGATAAATGGTACTTTTTCGTCGTCGCCTTTCAGAGCGTACCTGGTGCGCCTCTCCAAGATGAAACACGCGGTATCTAATAATAGCTTGTTATTCATTTATAGTAAGCATTACCCCAGAGAACTGTGCAAATAAAGCCAAAGACTGTGCTTATATCGCTAAGAAAGAGCAGTGTCTAAAACGTTTAGATTACGCCATCCAGTCTTGTCCTTGGAGCTGTCGATTCTGCAAAAGAGGCCAAGGTAGGACGAAGATTTAATGTTTGTATTTTGACTTGAAAAAGTATGGTGTTACCTGGCAAAGAAATGGCTTTTCATACTCAGCATATAAATGGCTTCCTTACTAAACCTGGCAAACAATTGATTTTCATACTAAGCATTTAAATGTCTTCCCTACTAAACCTGGCAAACAAATGGCTTTTCATACTAAGCATATAAATGGCTTCCCTACTAAACCTGGCAAACAAATGGCTTCTCAAGTTAAGCATAAAAATGGTTTCCTAACTAACCAATCTAAAAAATACGTTAATCGATCGCTCAATCGTTTCAACAGAGTATGACCCCGCAAAATGTGAAGACCTGGCTGGAGATAAGAAGTGTAAGGAGTGGAAGGAGAACGGAGACTGCATACGTTTACCTGATTATATGCAGCAAAACTGCATGCAATCCTGTGAATTATGCGGACCAGGTAAATAGCACTACAAATTTTAATATACCTACATACCATTCTACCACAAACAAAATAATCTAATCACAAATCAAGACTTAAATTGAGACCTAATTTGAAATATACAAATTCCTTTTCATTTTTTGAAGCTTCAAAACAAACTTGAAATCAAATTAATAAACAAATAAATTGATCTAAGTTGATAAGTCGAAGAAACACCAGTCATGATCATTCCAGTTATTCTTGGATTAACCTATATCCTATAGATTATCACCTATTCAATCATTTTTGAAATAGTTGTATCTTATAACCATATGTACAATTCCACGGATCCTCACTGGAACACATGAATATTCTGCTCAAAATCAATTGGAGGATAACCCTGAGCAACATATAACTCTAAACTAGAGTATTAATACACGTATTTGACATTGTAGAAAGTAACCAATTTGATGGAGATGTGCGATGTCCATTCTGGGGAAAGTATGGTTACTGCAAGATCAATGCTCAAATCAGTAACGAATGTCCTTATAGTTGCACCAAATACATCAACGTACCAGCTGCCATTCAACCATATCCTTATCCAATCATTGCACTACATCCTTACCAACCAACACCAACTCCAAGTCCACCAACGGTGAGGAATTAATTCATTACTGGGCTACCTGTGGTCAGTGCAAGTTATAAATTGATAGTGGGGTAGTTATTCACGTCTCTCAAAACTCCAGTGTATGCGGGCTTGAGTCGTCATTAGCGTTACATATACAAATTACTGGGCTATCTATTGTGGACTAAAAAATAATTACTAGGTTGCCTGTCATAAGATAGGATAGGCTTTGAAAGGCGTGTAGTTTTTCCATTCCAGACCACAGGTCATTACCTTGAGTATAATCTCTTTGATCAATGGTTATGCATAATATAAAAGACACATGATATAGACCCCTTGTATGGGACATCAAAGCAGCTCGATCTGGAGGACAAAACAAAAGAATTCCAATCTCCTGAGAATTGGAACCTATTTTCTGTCCTTGATTGAGCTGCATTCCAAAGTGCTGCAAGGCTAAGGGTCTATCCTAATGTAACTAATTGTGTAGATCAGCCCTGTTAATCTCATATAGGTAACTGTCCAATTGTTTTCTTAATCAGTGGACAGGTCTTGTTGATATGGGATTAATCAGGCAGCTATATAATTAATAGGTAATGGGATTTCATGCTCCCAAATCAAAGACATCAAATAAATAATTAGAATTAAATCCCCCCCAAATCCCCCCCAAATCAAATAAATAATTAGASTCGAAAAATTCCTCTGACTGCCAAATTGGACTCGGCCTACGGCCTCATCCAATTTTCTCAGTTCTCGGAATTTTCCTCGTCCAATTATTTCTTAATTGGACAGCATGGAGTCCTATTACATATACTAATTCATCTTTTGTAAAAATGACACTAATGATTTAAAAAGTACTTATACGATATGGATACAAAGAATCTTATTATTAAGAGAATGGCACGTTGTGTGAAATGGGAAAACATTACTTCCAAGGTAAAAGGTAAAAACTTCTATTGTTGTTTTCTCGTTTCAGACAAAACCTGGACAAACAACTGCGAAACCTGGACAAACAACTGCGAATCCTGGACAAACAACTGCGAATCCTGGACAAACAACTGCGAATCCTGGACAAACAACTGCGAAACCAGGCGAGACAACCCAAAAACCGGAGGGAGAAAAGACCACAGAAACACCAGCAAAGACAACTCCAAGACCTGAAATACAACCAACACAACCTCCACAACCCCAGCAACCGGAACCACAGCAGCAACCACAACCACAACCACAACCACAACCACAAGAGCAACCACAACCAAATGGTGACCGAGGTAAATCAACATAGAGTAGGAGTTTTAATTGTACTGCAGCAGGTGGCAGCTGATTCGCCCTGCACAATACTAAGCTTCCCTCTCCAACATGCACATGGAATGATGTAATAATTAAGTTGAGTAGTTTTATATATATTAATGATTATTATGATCATAATAATAATAACTAACAATAAATTTATATAAAATATTATTTAAAATAATATATTCATGTAATCGTGTAGCCCAAATCCTCAATATATATATATATATCCCCATCTAACGTAATTCTAATCCCTGATCACATTCACAAACTATTTTCAGTTAGTGTCATATAACTGTTTTCATCCGTTTAGCTAAATCAAAGAATGGCAAGAAGCATGGAAGATTAGTTGACGATTACACCAGGCGTCATTTCAAATACTGGAAGTTAAGTAAGTCAAACAAATACCATTGATCTTTTGTCGTTGATTTTTCCCCGAAAAGAAAATGGATCCGAAAAATATAAACTTTATGTTTTACAATTTTTAGTTACTATTGACCCCGAAGACTGCGAAGATATAAGCGAAGACTGCGAAAACTTTGCTGACGAAGGATATTGCTTAGAAAAATTCCATTACGCCAAGAAAACCTGCCCGTGGAGCTGCCGATTCTGTAAACGAACTAAAGGTAAGACTGTGAGTGGTACTGGGACGTCATACGATTATATCCCGCCATGTCGCGACACGTGTGTAATACTTAGATGTCACGTGATGATTTCCCGCCATGTCGTGACACGTGTGTAATACTTAGATGTCACGTGATGATTTCCCGCCATGTAGCGACACGTGTGTAATACTTAGATGTCACGTGATGATTTCCCGCCATGTAGCGACACGTGTGTAATACTTAGATGTCACGTGATGATTTCCCGCCATGTAGCGACACGTGTGTCACCAAGATGTCATGGGACTATTTTCCGGCATGTTGCAAGACGTTGTCGTACTGTGAATTCACGTGATTATTTCCCGTCATTCAGTGGGACAAGTATGAAAATGAGACATCAAGTGATTATTTCCCGCAATTTTCTGGGACAAGTGTGATACTAAAACATCACGTGATTATTTCCTGCTATTTTCTGGAACAAACGTGATACTAAAACATCACGTGATTATTCCCTGCCATTTTCTGGTACAAACGTGATACTAAAACATCACGTGATTATTTCCCGCCATTTTCTGGGACAAACGTGATACTAAAACATCACGTGATTATTTCTCGCCATTTCCTTTATTTCAGAACACGGGACCGATAGGTGCAGAGATTTGGCAGGGGCTGAAAGTTGCAGGCAGTGGGCATCCAAAGGTGACTGCATTCATTTACCCGATTACATGATGCAGAACTGTAAAAGATCATGCGAACTATGTGGACCAGGTAAATAGAAATGAGTGACTAATTGAAGATGCAATATATTTGACGTTGATCACGCAGTAGGTACCCAACAGTTCGTGGCTCAAGCAAGACAACATTGGAATTTAGAAGTTAATTTTTACGGAAGGTAGAGCCCTAGAACCTGGGGAAAACTCAGAGCACAGGAGAGAACCAACAAGCAACTTTACTCACAGGTGATGTCTCTTCTCGGGAACCATCCTCAATTATGAGGGAGAAACAGAGGGAGCTGATTAGAAGCAGACACCACCTATATGTTCTTCTTAACAATAAGAATTAATAAGCCTTAGGTTGTCGCTAATCACCCACCACAAGTACAGCTGTGGTGCAGCTCTAAGGGTCCGACTTGAAAGTAATGTGAAGGCATTTCTGTCAGCCACTATACAGTCCATGCATGACCCCGGAGCACTGCTCTAACCAGAATAAGACTGGAATTAATTCGTTTCTTTCTATTTTGAACCAGAAACTGGATTCAGATACCAAGATGAAGACGTACGCTGTCCTTTTTGGGGCAAGGCAGGTTACTGTACTACAGACACCGACATCAACCTGAACTGTCCACACAGCTGTCGCAAGTATCGAAGGGTAGAACCAGCACCTGAACCATATCCATACCCGATCCAAGCACTTCATCCTTACCAACCGACCCCCATCCCTCCTACTCCTGCTCCTACTGGGGTGAGAATTCTAGAGTTGAATTTGTACTGTATTAGTGACCGTCATATGCCTTTCGATTTAGGCCAATCATTAGACTTAGCAGCCATCAATGGCCAATCACAAAGCATGAAAGCTACTTGGCTTATTTTGTGCTTCTAGCTCTTGATGATGTCGTCGCGTTTTCGTGAAAAATGTTTCTGATGATGAAACCGTTTTTGTTTTTTTTACCATCAGTCACTCTCCACTGTTGTATACCCCGCACCGTACCCGGTACCTGGACCCCCTGGACCTCCTGGAGCTCCTGCAACACCACCTCCTACCGCAGCGACGTCTCCGGCACCGGCACCGGCACCACCACCACCACCCACCACCGCCACCACCCCAGTACCATCCACATCCACATCCCCAGCACCACAGCCCTCTCCAGCACCACAACCCTCTCCATCGCCACAACCCTCTCCATCGCCACAACCCTCTCCATCGCCAGAACCCGCTCCATCGCCACAACCCTCTCCATCGCCAGAACCCGCTCCATCGCCAGAACCCGCTCCATCGCCAGAACCCGCTCCATCGCCAGAACCCTCTCCATCGCCAGAACCCGCTCCATCGCCAGAACCCTCTCCATCACCAGAACCCTCTCCATCGCCAGAACCCTCTCCATCGCCAGAACCCTCGCCTTCCCCAACTCCAACCCCATCTCCTTCACCGGAACCCTCGCCATCCCCATCCCCAGAACCCTCCCCATCCCCCGAACCATCGGAACAGCCCGAGGAATCTACACCAACCTCATCCCCGCCATCAGAAGAGGAAGAAACACCAGAACCATCCGAAAATTCACCAACTGAAGCTCCAAGCCAAGCAGGTGGTCCAGAGGCACCTGAAATTGAATCTTCAACGTTAACCGACGCTTCCGGCGAAAACGAAGAATTAGAAAAATTTGAAGGAGGAAGCGGAAGCGGAAGTGACAAGAGACCTACAGCCCGAGAAAATGAAGAAGAACTTGTGGATGGTTCAGCTGACATCGATGAGAAAATATTTAAAGAAAAATCACTTGGTAAAAAAGAGAAAAAGTAAAGCAACCATGATGAATGGTTTGCGCGAGGGGAAAAAATTTCGTCTAGAACTAATAACTAAAATAATATTAATACATTTTACAAATTTACAAAAAATATATCTGAACTATGTGAAAATTATTTTTTCTCACTGCGAAGTTCCTTAGATTACTACTATTGTTTTGCTCAAATTTCAGTTTTAATGTGTGTGTGCGTGGGCTTTGTTCTGCCGTTTAGTTGTAGCACTGGTTAAATCGATCGATTTGAGATTATGGAAATATGTTAGAAGTAGCGTGTTGGAATACACCTTTTGAGCTTCGTATGCCAATTGTCCATTTCAGATCACATGACACTCCCTTGAGAATTATTATTTTATGACGAACATGTTAAAATACACTTATTTCAATAAAGTTAGTCACCAAAAAACCTAGAAAGCTGAGATCACCGAGCATCATGGGAAACTTTTCATATCAAAAAAGCATATATATGCAAAGCTTTTTTAATACAAACTGCAGCTCGATGATGCTCAGAAGAGGTGAGACTGTAACCCGTAAGAGATTCGCAAGTCCATAAACAGTTATCAAGCGGTTGAACGTGTAAATTGAATCTACCTATAATCCTTGTCGGCCTCAGCTTTATAGCTTTTCAGGTGACTAACTTTATTGAAATAAGTGTATTTAGATATGAAAGAATCAACTCCAAGAGTGGCATCAAATGGTCTGAATTGTGCACAATAAAACAATGAACTGACCTAATAACGTCAGTCCAACCTTTTGGGCACTCTCTTGGTATGGAAATACTTCCGGAATATTTCTATCATTTGGAGCGCGCACGATTTTTCCAGTGTATAGTGCGGGCTTTTGAAATTTATGGCGACACTTTTTTTACCCATTTGCAAAAGCCCGCCAAAAAGCAAATTCAACGTGAGATTGAAACACTTGAACAGGGATTACGGAAAACGCCCCAACATGAAACGTAAGCGAGAAAAACAAAGGGTCTCCATTCAAGGAATTTTGCACCGATACACCACTCAATTTAAAGAAATATTTCAAATAAATCCTTTAAGAAAAATAAATCAAATGAGCACTTAAAAAGTGTAAGATTAAATGTAACTGATGGGTTGTGCGTAAATTCTTGTATAAAAATTCGCTATTTTGACTATCATGATTGTTAAAAATAAATGTTTTAAAATATCAAAGAACAGCAAAGTGTGATTGTGTCCATTTGAACTTGAAAGTGGTATAAATTGAATATCGCTGTTTTTTTCTTAGGCCCCGTCCACACTATGCCGGATAAATTTGAATCCGAATTTTCAAACCGAAACCGAAAAAAAATTTTCCGTCCACACTAATACGGCTAGCCGGCGTTTTCAAATTGTTCCACTCTGGAGACCGTATTCGAAAAAATTCGTTTTCGGTGAAGAATTGTTCCGGATTCGGACGGTAGGCCTAACCGAATAAATAAAAATTCGGATTCAAATTTATCCGGCATAGTGTGGACGGGGCCTTATTAAATGTTTACCATACATTAAGATCACACACATAACTCCATTACTCGAGAAAAGAAATCTAAGCTGACTGATCTACTGAGCACTAATTCTAATTGATTTACAACTAATGAAGTAAGGAGTTGAAATGAAAACAGCCCCACAATACACTGCAATGACAACTCGACCCAGTCTTTTCCTCGACCTCGGAATGGCTAATAGAGTCAGGCCTGGTGCACAGTTGCGACAAGACGACAAAGCTAAGTACCCTTGTCTGGGTAGACGAATATGAGAATCGTGAGACTGGTGATTACTAGGCTACCAATGAATAAGATTTTAAACAAAATGGCGGCAAATATTATTAAGTTGCAATTGGATGGTGCTACGTTATAGTAAACGCACATTAGAATCCTCTTATTGTTTGAGGGTTTTTTGTTATAGATTTTTTTCAAATAAATAAAAAACGTAGAATTCGGAAAATATATTCTTTTTACGCTCAATGACATGACATATGAACTTTGGCATCACTTTGTTTTAAAATGAAAGATTATATCGAAAAAATGAAATGAATCCTAAAAAGAGCAGTTTGTAAAAGTGGTTTTTGAATCAATAACAAGGGAATAAAAAAACAATAAAAATACCGACACGCCCATTGACTATTCTATCTTTTCATATTATTCATTATTAAAGAATTGCTGACAGATTTATCGTTAAAATAATGGCCACCTGTAAAGTGATAATCACAACTCATAGGGCTTATCAAACTGATCAACCATGCTTACCAGAAACAGAATCGAGTACACTCCTTCAATTAAACCAAACAGATCGAGCCATTCAACATCACCACCAACACTTAGCTCATGCAAAATCAAGGTTGACAAAATGACATCAAATTGGTTATCTCACCAGGTATCCTAAGTTATTCTGAGACGACACAGATCCACATTTGTCACAGTTCAAAAGTATTGAAAACTCCACGCACGGGAGTTCCTAGACACTTTAGACAAAACAACGACAGCTGAAAGGTACGGCAGACCTCCTGCCTTTCTTACATCTCATTTGCTACTTTCGTTTGGAATTCAGGGCTTATATTTTTGCTAGAAAATAAGGTGTGACTAACATTTCACCTCAATTGTCTTAAAACATGAACATGTCGCATGAGAGTCTAACTTTTTACAATTATCTCATCATGTAAAAAAAAAGATTTAAAAACTGGAATTGTCAACGATGAATAACCAGGGTAAAATTTACTTATTTAGTTAGTTAAATATATTTTTTTATTTTATAGTTCAAGATGTGGAAACAGCTTCTCATAATACTGATCGTTATATACCTTATCGAAGCCAAGCGTAAGTACTGTACTGACATATGCACTATAAACTCCAGGCCAAAGTTAGATGAATATCGGCTTATTTCTTTGAGGAGAAAACCTCCAAAAAATATAAGGAGAAAAAGATATGGGGTTGCAGAGACCCCCTCGCTCCAGTTCTTCACGTTCGTAGGTTTTGTTGTCGCGACCGAGAAACACTGGAATGAGAAAGCCTAAACCACTAGAGTTAAGCCCGCAATTTTGAAGGTCAGAGGCAACACGAAGCATAGAAAACCAAGGCTTCTCTGTTTGTAGTCACCAAACAATGACTAATGAACACATATCAATGATGCCCGCAAACATATAGATCAGAGACAACATGGACCACAAGTAACGTTGCAAACACTAGGCTTCGTTGTATCTAGTCATCAAACAGTGACTAATGAACACATATCCAATGACGTCCGCAATCATATAGGTCAGAGAGAAAACGGAACTTTCTAGTAATGCATTTTGCGTCAGCTTAGAGCTTATTGTTACTCTGTTCAACTAACCGCATAACATTCTTTGTTGTTGGTCATTCTAACGTCATTGTCTCTTCCTTTAGATCTTAAAAAGGTGAGAAAGGCGCACAAGACTAAAAAGCCTTCTGATATTGGGAGCAGTGGGGAGGGACCTGGACCTGAACCAGCCCCAGCCCCGGCATATTCAAGCGGAGATGTGGACTGGGAAAAGAGTAAGTGCAGGTTACTTAACTAGGAGGGAAAACGATGTTTCTAATATCAACATATTTTTCCAATTTCTGTCATACATATATGTTATCATACATATACATCATACATAGAGGATATTACATGGGCGCGCGGAGATACGAAATTTATCTTCGAGTGTTGAAAAGATCTCTCACAAGTGGGCGCAGCGAACGAGTGAGAGATTTTCAACACGAGAAGATAAATTTCGTATCTCCAAGCGCCCATGTAATATTCTGTTTATTATAGAATTATCAATGATGTTTTGGCTTTTTCAGGCAATTCTTTCCGTGTATTTTTTAATAGCCATCGCAATGGTGTTATTTTCACACGTGAAAATAACATGTTATTTTCACGTGTGAAGATATCAGTTTTTCGAAATAGAGAAAAATAGATATTTCATTGGTAATTATATAATAAATATAGTTATTTTATAGTTAATACTTATTCATAATTATCGTTTGGTACATTCTACTTCTGTTTCGGTCCAACAAACACCATATATAGCATGGCAAAAAAACGTATACCCAGAATGTACCATGTCCGCTATCTGGGGTTAAAAACGAAATAATTTCCTTCTGAGGATTGCATTATAGTTTTCTTATAGTTATGACCCCCAAAAAGGTATTTATGGGATTTATTGGAAGCGAATGTTTTGGCCTATTTTATATTTTTACCTTTATTTTCACGACGACTCCAGTTGACATCGACGAAGATGAATGCGAGGACAAAGGAAAAGACTGCGAGACAGTCGCAAACGAAGGAGAATGCCTCAAACGGTTTGAATACGTCCTGAAACACTGTCCCTGGAGCTGTCGATTCTGTAAGAAGAAAGGACGAGACACTAAGAAATGTAAAGATCTGGCGGGCTCAAGACATTGTGAGGGATGGAAAACTAATGGAGATTGTCTTCTTCTTCCTGATTTTATGGCACAGAACTGCAAGATGACATGCGAGCTGTGTGGGCCAGGTATTACAATTTGACGATCAATCTTATTAGAGCATTGCGATGTTTTTCTATAGGCGATGCGCAAAATGATCCATGAGAATGAAAGGACAGAAGACAATGACGGCCAWGTTGGTGGACATAAACAAAGAAATCAAAATCGAATCTTTTGTTCTGTTTAAATCAACCAACATGGTGGCTATGACGGAGCCAACCAACATGGCGGCCCCAGAAGATAGATCCTTTCTACCTGGGCATATCCCCACCTACCCTGCGAGCAGAGTCTCCTTTCCTTCTCTCGCCCATAGAGGAGTTAAAAGGAGACGCTGCTCGCAGGGTAATCCCCACCCCACCCCATTTCAGACACTTGAAATTGCTACGTGCCATTTTTTGTTTTATTGTTGTGAGACTGAAGAAATATGAATATGAATACAGCTCAAGCAGAACCTTATTCTCAGAAATAATAACTAGGAAAACCTTTCGTCTGGTTTATTAGCATTGTCTAAATGTCCAAATGGGTATAGCTAGCCACCATCTCCATATCCCCTTCTTTGGTACCTCTTCCCCCTCCCCTCCCCCACTAAGTCACATATTAGCATTTTTCAATACTTTTTATCAATGATCGATATGGGCTTAAAACAATTCTACTCGACGCTCAAGGAAAGATTGTAATCGATGACCGCAGTCTACATTCACCAAACCATTGGTTCTTCAATCGCTAAAAGTTATTTGAATATTTTTAGAAACATCTATGAAGTACATAGATGAGGACGTTCGCTGCCCAGAGTGGTCTCAGAATGGTTATTGTCATACAAATACGGACATTAATCTACATTGTCCACATAGCTGTCGTAAATATCAGCACGTGCCAGCAGCAGCCATACCTTATCCATACAGGTTTATCGCTCTTCATCCTTATCAATATAATGTTATTAGAACGACACCGCCACCAAAAACGGTAAGAAATGAAAGAAAAGTAACTAGAGAGCATACCATATATCCGTGAAAAACTTTGGAAGAAATTGCGCAAATTTTCACACATTAGTGAGTGCAGTAGACCTCAGTAGAGCGTAGAAAAACTTACAAAACCGTACAAAACTTTGCACTAATTCGTACAATTTTAACTTTTTCATGCATATATCGAATGCGCTCCATATAGGAACGGCTAGTGAGAGAAGTTCCAAGAATATACTCTTTTACTTTGGGAATACAGTTTCCCTATTTCGGACCATGTGTCATTCCCAAGAGTATTATTCCCATCTTTAAAGATCGCGCATGAAATGACACATGAATATGGACACAACTGAAACAAATAATCTTATTCTTAAGAGAATTTGACGTGGTCTGAAATGAGAAAACATTACGGCCAAGCTTAAAGGGTCTATTTCCATGGAGACGTAGACACACAAAGAGAGGGATTGGGGAGAGAGAGGAAGAATGCAAAAAAGCAAGGAAAAAAATAATTCGTTGCCTTTTGATGACGTAACTATTCCTATGTTCTGACTACAATATCCTCAAATTCCTACTTCTACCGAATAAATTGTTTTGTACAATTTAGACCGCTCAGGCAGTTGAGACGACAACACCGAAGCCAACAGAAACGACCACCGCTGCACCTCAAACTGAAGCTACCACAAAAGCACCAGAAACGACAACAAGCCAAACGACACCAAAACCTACAACAAAACCAGCTCCAACACCTGCACCCGAGCCAGCACCCGAACCGGCGCCGCAACCAGCACCCGAACCGGCGCCGCAACCAGCACCCGAACCAGCACCCGAACCGGCGCCGCAACCAGCACCCGAACCGGCGCCGCAACCAGCACCCGTACCAGCACCCGAGCCCGCGCCTGCGCCGGCACCAGCCCCCGAACCCGCTCCAGCACCAGCATCCGAACCTGCATCCGAACCAGCGCCTGAACCAGCATCCGAATCAGCATCCGAACCAGCACCCGAACCAGCACCCGAATCTACGGAAGCCCCAGCAGCAGCAGCACTCCCATCCAATCAAGCTAAACCTGCTGATCAGTCATCGAAGAAGCGTGGGAAGCACTCAAAAAGATCGAAACATGGAAAAAAACACTAGGAGTTATGTCAATATTATGGGACGTGGAGGAAAGTAGCGAAAGAAATGGGAAATACGAACGTTTATCAGCGAATGCCTTAATATGTAACTCAAAGTCACAAAATTAAAGATTTAAAATCGTTGAAATGTGCGTGGACTGAATTAATTATAACAAAAGAATAGATAATGAAGATAATGAAGATGATGATGATGATAATATTATGGTGATAATGGTGGTGATGATAATGGTTATGATAATGATTATAATGCGGGTGACGATGAAAGTGATGATGATGACGATTATGATAATGATGGTAATGACTATGATTATGAATAATAGGATGACTACCAGGAAGATCATGAAGAGGGATCATGATGATGATGATGATGACTTCCCACGTTAAAAGGATATGGATGCGGATAATAATGATAATAATGATGTTGATGATGATTTTGATGATGATGAGGATAAGAATAATAGGATAACGATCAGGAAGATCATGAAGAGGGATCATGATGATGATGATGATGACTT